TAATATTGGTGTATAAGATTGACATCACTGCAACTGATACGTATAAAATTTACAATACTTCGACTGGTTGAAATTAGATCGACAACACTGTGATTGATTGTTATTAAATTGACAGACCGTTGATTGCTTTGTATAAGATTGACAACATTGTCATTGATTGGTAAACAATTGACTTACAACACTGACTTATCGCTATAATATTGACAACCCTGTGACTGATTGGCATAAGATTGACAACACTGTGACTGATTAGTATAAGATTGACAACACTGTGAATGATTGGTATAATACTAACAACACTGTGACTGATTGATATAAGATTGACAACACTGTGACTGATTGGTATAAGATTGATAACACTGTGATTGATTGGTATAAGATTGACAACACTGTGACTGATTGGTATAAGATTGACAACACTGTGACTGATTGGTATAATATTGACAACACTGTGACTGATTGGCATAAGATTGACAACACTGTGACTGATTGGTATAAGATTACTAACACTGTGACTGATTGGTATAAGATTGATAACACTGTGACTGATAAGTATAACATTAACAACACTGTGACCGATTGGTATAAGATTGACATCACAGTGACTGATAAGTGTAAGATCGACAACACTGTGATTCATTAGATAATCATTTGACATGACTGTGACTAATAAGTATAAAATTGACAACACGACGATTGCTTGTTATGAGATTGGCAACACTGACTTACTTGTATAATATTGAAAACACTGTGACTGACTGGTATCAGATTGAAAACGCTGTAACTGATTAGTATAGGGTTGATAACACTGTGACTGATTAGTATAATATTGACAACACTGTAACTACTTTGTATAATATTGACAACACTGTGACTGATAAGTATAAGATTGACAGTACTGTGACTGATTGGTATAATATTGACAACACTGTGACTGATATGTATAAGATTGACAACACTGTGACGAATTGGTTTAATATTGATAACACTTTCACTGATAAGTATTATATTGATAACATTGTGATGAACTGGCATCACATTGACAACACTGTGACTGAATGGTATAGTATTGATAACACTTTGACTGATAAGTATAAGATTGACAACACTGTGACTGATGTGTATAATATTGGTGTATAAGATTGATAACACTGTTACTGATTGGTATTACATTGATAACACTGTGACTGATAAGTATAAGATTGACAACAATGAGACGGATTGGTATAAGATTGACAACACTGTGACTGATTTGTATTAGATTGATAACAATGTAACTGATTGCTATATGGTTAACAAAACTGTGACTGGATGGTATAAGATTAATAACACTGTGACTGATTGGTATTAGATTGATAACACTGTGACTGATTGATATAAGATGGACACTACTTTGACTAATAAGTGTAAGATTGACCACACTGTGACTGATAAGTATCAGATTGACAACACTGTGATTGATTGGAAAATGATTTGACATCACTGTGACCAATAAGTATAGTATTGATAACACTGTGAATGATTGGTATAATATTGGTAATTCTGTGACTGATAAGTAAAAGATTGACAACACTCCGACTGATTGGTATAAGATTGACAACACTGTGACTGATAAGTATAAGATTGACAACACTCTGATTGATGGGTATAAGATTGACATCATTGTTACTGATAAGTGTAAGATTGACAACACTGTGATTGATTGGATAATGATTTGACAACACTGTGACTAATAAATATAAAATTGACAACAATATGACTAATATGTATAAGATTGACAACACGATGATTGCTTGTTATGAGATTGACAACACTGACTGACTTGTATAATATTGACAACACTGTGACTGACTGGTATAGGATTGACAACACTATGACTGACTGGTATAGGATTGATAACACTGTAACTAATTTGTATACTATTGACAACACTGTGACTGATAAGTATAAGATTGACAATACTATGACTGATTGGTATAATATTGACATCATTGTTACTAATTGGTTTAATATTGATAACACTTTGACTGACAGGTATAAGATTGACAACATTGTGACTTATTGGTGTTAAATTGACAACACTGTTACTGAGTAGTATTATATTGATAAAACTGTGATATCTTGGTATAAGATTGACAACACTGTGACTGAATGGTATAGAATTGATAACACTGTGACTGAATGGTATAGAATTGATAACACTGTGACTGATTTTTATAATATTGGTGTATAAGATTGATAAAACTGTAACTGATTGGTATAATATTGATAACACTGTGACTGATAAGTATAAGATTGACAATACTGTGACTGATTGGTATAATATTGACATCATTGTGACTAATTGGTTTAATATTGATAACACTTTGACTGATAAGTATAAGATTGACAACACTGTGACTTATTGGTGTTAAATTGAAAACACTGTTACTGAGTAGTATTATATTGATAACACTGTGACAGATTGGTATAAGATTGACAACACTGTGACTGAATGGTATAGGATTAATAACACTGTGACTGATAAGTATAAGTTTGACAACACTGTGACTGATTTGTATAATATTGGTGTATAAGTTTGATAACACTGTAACTGATTGGTATAATATTGACGACACTGTGACTGATTGGTATAAGATTGACGAAACTGTGACTGATTGGTATAAGATTGACGACATTGTGACTGATTGGTAAAAGATTGACGACACTGTGACTGATTTGTATAAGATTGATAACAATGTAACTGATTGCTATAAGATTAACAACACTGTGACTGATAAGTATAATATTGACAACACTGTGACTGATAAGTGTAAGATTAATAACACTGTGTCTGATAGGTAAGAATGACAACAATTTGATTGATTAAAATTTGACTAAAAGCATCGATTGCTCTGTTTAAGATTGACAACCCTGTTATTTTTTAAATAAGATTGACACTGTGACTGATTGGTATAAGATTGACGACACTGTGACTGATTGGTATAAGATTGACGAAACTGTGACTGATTGGTATAAGATTGACGACATTGTGACTGATTGGTAAAAGATTGACGACACTGTGACTGATTGGTATAAGATTGACGACACTAATAGGTTGGAAAGGCAGTCACTGATTTGTATTGTTTAACAATTATGGACTGTGTAGGAAAGACAAATGTTGTAAAGTTCATCTTTTTTGTCATTTCCGTACTGTTCAATTTTAAACTATATATTAATACGATATCGTCAATGTTTGTATTTTTTTCTCTCTCTTTTAAGGTGTGGTCAATAGACATAAACAATTGAGTGATCTCATTCATCGATTGAGAATACTGTATTAGCAATTGGTTAGGGTTGAAAAGCTCATCTGGTGTCACAATCAGTTTATAGAAAGGGCGTTAAGTACTCTACTTAAACATAACATAACCAACGCGTTTTTTTTATTTAGCTTGTATTGTCCTTTATTAAAAAAAATCATTGAATACTTTTTTTGTTAACACGCGTACGTAAAATACTGCATAATCACGATTCTTTATCCACCAACATCTGTTTGGCTTATTTCGCCTCAAAGCATACGTCGTCGACCGTCATCCATAAAATTTCACATTTTCATCTACTTCTGTGCATCCATTTTGCCAAGTTTACACTTTTACATGAAATTAACATACATGAATGTTATTGTATGAAAAGTTTCTGCATACGACCTCCATTTGGTTTCGTTACGTTTGGAAATAAGTCTGAGAGATGACTTTTTCCCCTAATCTAAAACCGAAAGGCAAAGTGTTTTGAAACCTTTATGCGATTGATGATACAGATACCCTCTGGAAAAAAAAATACCCATTTAATGTTCATTGGGTGGCAAACAAAGCGGCATTAGTGGAACATAATTCCCACCCATTTAAACACAATAGAAAATCGCATTTGTATCTTCTTATCCGATATGGTGTAGCCAATTTTAACCGATCTTTTCAGAAATAATGTATGTAAGGTTCTCTACATTGTAATTATATTATGCTTGAATAAAAAAAAACGTCTACACAAGAGGCATTCTTTTATTCTCTTTAACCAGTTTTACAAAATCTTCTCTTTTAGAACTGCAAATCTTCTTCTCTGTTACCATGTGGCCAATTTTACCTATAATTGGCGAATATTAAATTAACTCGCTATAATAGCCTATTTAATTTGATTAATAATAATAAAAATCGACAAAAGCTCGTTTATCATTATATTAAAATTTAAAAAATCTAGTTGATACCAATTTTGCATGCAACAAAAAATGAAGAATTGCATATGAATATCTTAATATACACATATGCAACAAATCCAATATCCGGAAAATAGTATTATAAATGTATAAAATACACGTAAATATCGTACTATTGTTTATCGAAATCCTTTCCTACGAATTTTCTTTAATTATATAAAAATTATATGTTATTGCTACTGAAATTTCAGATTAATGTTGTTATATTAGGGGTCACCGAACTCGATTCAGGGCGGCATTTTGCATAGAGATAATATTTTTCGATTTTTTTTTTTTTTTTTTTAAATATAACAGAGATATTTGAATATACCGCAAAAACGAATTCGATGACCCCAAATCATTTTCATATCAATAAAACGGAAATGTAAGAGGCACATATATATTAATTATTTCCAAAGAATATTCGTATGATAGGTTTTTGAGAAAAGTCAATATAAAGCCAAATTATTCAATATTGTTTGCGATATTTACGTGCACTGCATCCTATACAATGTATTCTTTCCAAATAAAATTCATTTGGCTATTTCTCCTAAGATAACAAATTTCTGTACTTATATATTTTTTTCGAAATTCATATGAACATGTTATAATTTCAAAATGTAAGGATAATGAAAGAAGTTTATTAAAAGAAATTCTTGTTTATTTTACAGTGACGCAATTGTTATTTATAAAGAAACTAATCCGAAGTTACAGTCTGCTTTAATAAGAATTACTTGAATATCTTTTTAGGTAATCAAACAGAAACACATTGACAATGGCTTCAAAAAGTCCAGGCAAACTTAAAGATTATATAGAGAAATTATACATATCAAACCTCCAAAGTGAAGATTTATTAGAATTATTGGTAAAGGTAATGAAAATAATTAATAAGGCGATTGACAATACGAAACTATCAGATAATTATTTATCTTTACTTGTCCATCTTATAGCAAAGGCTTCTACGTGTACGGCACAGAGAAGGAAACAGGATGTCTTTCAGCTGTTGAATATGCTGTCGGATTCTTCACTGATCACAACCAGGAGTATCCCATTGCTTGTGGGGGTAACATGTAACAACTCACGTGATCATGATTTTCATTGTTTGTTATCCGATTACTTAACAATACTTCAGGAATTATACTTACGCATGCCTCATTTGTGTACAACTCCACAAGTTATTGGACTTGTAGAATTTTTGAAAGAACAAGTAAACGAATGTGATGATTGCGAAGACAAAGATAAGATGGTTGACATTGTGTTTGAATTGAAGAATGACATTATGAAGATCGCAGAAGAACGATCAAAGCCAAAACATGTTAAAAAGCAAGACATAGAAGACAAGTTTGCTCCTCCAGAGGATTTCCGAACTATGTCAGTTATTCCGGGACAAATCGATGTTTTATACGCTCCAAATTTCCTAAGACGAAACAAAGTTTTCGGGAAGTATTTGGATTTAGATCATTATTTAGATGTACAGTTTAGGTTGTACAGGGAAGACTGCGTGTCACCTCTTCGAGATGCTCTCCTGGAATTCAAGCAGAAAGATAGAGAAATTCGGAGCGGAAAATTTAGATTGGAAAGTGGTCTTGTCTATAGGAACGTGTTAGTAGTGAACCAAAGCACCTCTATCGATTCTGGGGAAGTTTTTGAACTAAAACTAGACCCGGACCATTGTAAAAAGATCAACTGGATAAAATCAAAGAGACTTATTTATGGTGCTTTATTGCTTGTTTCTTTTGATCGGTTCAACACAATTTTCTTCGCTGTTGTAGCTGAAAGTGAGAGAGAAACTTTACAAAATAAAGGCTGCTTTGCTGTACAAGTTTTTAAATCGGGCAACAGCTTCAAACTTCCAAGAAATGAATATGGTATAATGATAGAGGCGACATCAGCGTATTTTGAAGCTTACAAACATGTACTAAAAGCCTTACAGCGCATTAAGGAGGAAACGTTCCCCTTTCAACGATATCTCGTTCTCTGTGAAAAAGATGTTAGTATGCCATCGTACATTTTAAAAGATTGTGTATATGATCTAAGACCTTTAATTAAAAATTCCCGTATTGACATAGAAAACGCTCAACGTGGAAATCGAAGAATTGGTATACCTAAACGGACACCAACAAATGATGTAAGGTTGTTTCAGGAAGACTGGCCGTCAACTGCTGTATTAAGGATGGATGAATCGCAGAAGAAAGCGTTTATTTCAGCACTTACAAAAGAATTTGTGCTCATCCAAGGTCCACCAGGAACTGGAAAGACGTACCTTGGATTACAAATTGCTAAAGCATTACTGCATAATAGTAGCAGATGGTTACAAGTGGATTCCATTGGTGTGGATGATGAGGATCCAAAACCTATCCGTAACGCGCGAAGACCTGCAGCATTACCGAAACCGTACATGTTAGTTGTTTGCTATACAAACCATGCATTAGATCAGTTTGTTGAAGGAATTGTTGATTTTATGCCGGAAAATTTATTTGATGGTCGTTTCCCCAGAGTAGTAAGATTTGGAAACCGTTGCAAAAATCCTAAAGTTGAAGAACTTTCGATAAAAAATTTACGGAGAAAAGCTCGACGGGAATTTGATAATCCCCGAGCTGGTGTACTTGAAAAAGCAACAACAGCTAAAAGGAAAATAAAAGAGATTCGGGAAACAATCGAGGCATTACAAAGCAGAAATATTGTTTTATGGTTCAATATTTTGAAATGTGTCCTTTCAGAAAATCATGTAAATCAATTTGGAGACAATAAAAGTTCTGTTTGGTTGCAGTGGCTACATGTGTTAGAACAGTCATGGTATAAAGAAGTGAACAAGCATTATCAAAACCAACAAACTGACAAAGAAATCAAAGATCAACTTATTGCGATTGAGACTGAACATAAAGAGGAAGAATTAATTACGGTGATTTCTGAGTCAGAATATGCATACAACGAGCGGTACTTGGAGGTTGATGATGTTGGCTTTTCGCTCAATACTGATACTATCGGTCTCGATCTGGACATGCAATATGAAAATCAGCTACAGAGAACAAAAAAACTTGAAGAAAAATGTCGATTAATTTTGCGTTTGGAAAAAGAGAAAGCAGCAAAGGAATTGCATTATGGCGAAAACATGTCAGAGGACCAAGTCATTGACGTAAAAAATATCTGGACACTTTCTATGGAAGATCGTTGGAAAATGTATAGGTATTGGTTAATGCAGTACATTAAGATACTTCACGAGCAGCTGCGCACCAGTGAACAGGAATTTAATGAGATATTTGACGACTACATGCGTGCCAGTAAGGAATTAGACGAATTTATTATGCAACAGACAACCGTTATCGCCATGACGACAACCAATGCAGCGCGCTACAGCGAATCCTTACACAAAGTTGGACCTCTAATCACCATAATTGAAGAAGCAGCTGAAGTACCAGAAGCCCATATTATTACTGCAATCAGCCCAAGATGTAAACATTTGATTTTGATTGGGGACCACAAGCAATTGGAACCAAAACCAGCCGTTTATGATCTTGCCATTAGATTTAATTTATCTGTCTCCCTGTTTGAAAGAATGGTAAAGAATGACTTGAGTTACCACTGCCTTCAACGACAACATCGAATGAGACCAGAAATTTCTGAACTGGTACGCCACATATATGATGTTCTTTATGACAACGAAAATGTATATAAATATCCACCGATTAAAGGAATACGGAAGAGTTTGTTCTTCATTACACATAACAAAAAGGAAGCTTTCAAAGATGAAGGAAGAAGTTTCTCAAACGAATACGAAGCTGAATATCTCAGAGAAGTTTGTCTTTACCTGCTTAAACAGGGATATAAACCATCTGATATTACGATTATTGCAGCATACACTGGTCAGATGTTCTGTTTAAAAGAAAAAATGCCTAGATCGAAATTCGAAGGAGTGAACATTTGTGTGCTTGACAATTATCAAGGCGAAGAAAATGAAATCATTCTTTTATCATTAGTGCGCAGCAATGCCAAAGGCGATATTGGATTCTTAAATCGGGAAAACAGAATTTGCGTTGCTTTGTCAAGAGCTAAACAAGGTCTTTTTATAATAGGAAACAGCTCGACATTGACAATGAAGTCTCACCATTGGCAGGCTATTATTAAAAAACTACAAATTCAGGAGGTAGACAGCGATGAAAATGAAACAATTCCTAAATACCCATCGCTTGGAAAGGCATTGCCTCTGTACTGTCAAAATCACCCATCCAACGAAGGAATTCTGGCCGAGTCGCCTAGTGACTTCAAGAAAGTAAAAGATGGAGGTTGTGATCTTCCGTGTGAATTTCGATTATCATGTGGACATGCATGTCGATACGATTGTCATCCATTTGACAGGGAACATAAAACATATAAATGCAAAAAACAATGTTCACAGACTTGTGAAGAAGGACATAAATGTCGTAAGAGATGTCATTTTGATGATTTATGTTATTGTAGTGTAGTAATGACACGGGAACTAAAATGTGGACACACAGCTAATCTTCAGTGCCATGTGGATTATTCTAAATACCTGTGTCCAGTTGAAGTAACAAGAACTTTATTATGTGGACATGCTGCAACTATGAAATGCTGCATCGATCCAGATACTATTCTCTGTAAAGTCATTGTTGACAGAGAACTAGAATGTGGACATACAACACAGTTAAAATGTCATGTTGATCCAAAACGCCACAAGTGTGTCACAGTCCTAACAGAGACACGATCAAAGTGTGGACATGAATTTGAACGTCAGTGTCATAACGTCTATTATGAGATATTAAATGAGTGTAGAGTTTTGATCGAAGAAAAACGATCCTCCTGCGACCATGTGATTGAACGGTATTGTTTCGACACCAAGTTTGAAATGCGTGTTAAGTGCAGCGTTACTGTAACAATAAACAGAACATCATGTGGACACGAATATCAAAGGCAGTGTCATGACCAATTGTATGAGATGACTCATGAATGCAATGACATTGTAACGGAACAATGGTTATCGTGTGAACATAGATATAAAAGATATTGCTATGATTCTAACTATGTTCAGAGTCACACATGCGAGGTTGTAATTCCTGATAAAAGAGATGATTGTGGTCATGAATATATAAGGAAATGTTCTGATACGAATTACCAGAAGGAAAACAAATGCAGCGTCTATGTAGAAAAATATTTTCCATATTGTGGCCATAAAATAATGCTCCCATGCCATCAAGATGTTACATTGATTAAATGTAAAGCAAATGTTACCACTGTCTTCGAATGCAAACATTCCAAGTCACACGAATGTCACAAAAGTAATTCAATCAAATGTACCGACAAATGCAATGAAATATGCAAAAACGGTCATCAGTGTATAAAATCCTGTCATTTCCCAACTTCCTGTGACTGCAAAGAGCTCATCAAAACCATTTTAGAACGCTGTAACCATCAACAAAGTATCCCATGTTCAGCCGACCCTAAAGTATATCCTTGTAAAGCAATGGTGAAGAAAGTTCTTAATTCATGCGGCCATACTCAGGAAATGGAATGCCATATAGACCCCGAAACAGTAACCTGTAAATTTGTAGTCCTAAAGTCTTTGCCTATATGTGGACATAGGAAAATGGTTTTATGTTCAGCAAATGTTTCAGACGTAAAATGTACCATAGAGGTTAAAATTGAGTTGGATAAATGCAGACATTCAGCTTCGATAAAATGCTGGGAGAAAGTAACAAATACTTTACCAGAAATTAAATGTTCAGAGACTGTAACACACGTGCGCTCCGACTGCCGACATAAGATAACTTTACAATGTTGGAAAACATCAAGTAAAAAAATACCTAAATGCAAAGAATTCGTAGACTTGACACTAGCATGTGGTCATTTAATAACAAGCGTATGCAGTGAGTCGGAGGGCAAAATATGTGACCAGAAGTGTGAAATATCATTGCCATGTGGACATCCCTGCCCTGGGTCATGTTATGCATGTCGAAAAAATTCCCGCCATAGTGAATGCGAAAGCCACTGTGAAAAAGAATTGTTATGTGGTCATGCCTGTCAAAGTAAAGCTTGCATGAAGTGCAGTCCGTGTCAAAAGTCTTGTGTATTTGCATGTTCGCATTCGAAATGTCGTTCTAAATGCACTGATCCATGCAAACCGTGTAAGGAAAACTGTCCATGGGAGTGTAAACATTATAAGTGTACACAATTATGCTTTGAAGAATGCAATCGTCAAAGATGTTATCATGACTGTGATAAGACTTTGTCTTGTGACCATCATTGTCCTGGTTACTGCGGTGAACCGTGTCCACTACAGTGTGCTAGTTGTAAACCGGATATGTATTTTTTTAAAGATACTAGTAAAGATAACAAAATAGTTACATTGCTACAATGTGGTCATTCTTTTGAAAGCAGTTATCTTGATGCTCGTATGGATGAAATGACAAATGAATTAGTGTCAAAATGCCCATGTTGTGGAGAAATTATTTGTTATCATCCAAGATATGAACGGATTTTGAAAAGGCAAAAAATGGCACTAGAAGATGCTAAAAAACAAATTTGGAAAGTACGAATAAATTCCAAAACGCTATATCCTGTTTGTGAAGCTGGAATGCTAAAATCGTTCGAACGGTATACAACAAGCATTGCAACATATCTTCACATTGTTCAGCAAACACAATGTAAGAATGACTTTGAATTGGAATTCCAACATGCCGATATATTGACAAAATCCATTCTCAAAGTTATTGATACAACCAATGCAACTTCATTCAAAACTTGCTTACAATTGTCTGAGAAAATATTTCATTTGCATATCCAATGGATACTGTGTCTTTTCACAACAAAACCAAAACTACTAGAAAAGTATTACATTGCCGATTGGTTTCCGCCATTGGTTAAGTCTATGAGAAATGCTTCAAACAATTTCCCGCTCGAACTTATAGAATCGATGGAAATCATTTTAGAAGAAAATGATGGAAGATTAACCGACACCAAAGGTCATCTCACAATAACCGGCCATGATATAGTTGTAGTTGTAAGCGTGATGGAGAAACAAATGAAAAAGAAACAGCTAAATGAAATATTAAAACCTTTTATTGCTGATATGGAAGGCGACGGATACTTGGCAAATACCAGAAGATATCCAAAATTACAGAATGTGGTTGGCATACATAGCAGTGGTTGGACAATATGTCAAAAAGGTAAAATGTATTAATAAGTCATGTACATGTCATTACATTCACACATATATAACATAGCCTATCAACAAAATAAAAGCTCATCACGTAGAGGTTACGTATGGTCTTCAATAATATACAATTTTTTGTATATTTATATTACATGTCAAGCTTATAATCACACCAAGTCTACATACACATTTACATTTCATAAATACAACTGTTTTCATCTTTGAGTTTAGACCAGACTTGCGTTTTGCAAAGTTCCTATAATATATACGTTTTACAATCAGTCGTTAATCATTAAAAAAACATATAAATTTCTGCTGATCGTCTATCCTGCGATCTTTAATTATTCATTACGTTTAAATATTGAATGATTGCAGAATTATACACAAAATAAAAATGAAATTGAAAATATTTAATTTTAGGTTTAAAGTGTTTTTTCTGTACTTGAAATTAACGGAAACTCTCGGATACTAAAGCAAAATGTATTATGTAGCCAAATATATATAATAAAGTGGGGAACTACATAATCACAGAGATCCATCAAGACAAACCGTCACCGACTGCTTAAAACCCTTTACTTTTTGGCAAATGCATATTAATCAATTATTATGTTTAATAGTGTAACTATATTTGGTATATTGGATCCTTGCAATGTCTCCATACCTTCATACAGGTTTCACCTGACCATGTATCAATTCCAGTGATTAAAATTTCGTGGTAAAGTCCGTATCGCAGATACTGTTAGCAATAGGTCAACTATACTTCGAAAACGGAATGATTGTAAGGTGTCCATGTCTGGCAGGTTTGTTCTTACCTTGCCTTAATTTTCATTGTTTATACATAGAAGTCAATGTTGAGTTTTCGTGGTTAGGTCTGGTTCTCGATATTATACGCAATAGTTTAACTATATTGTGTTTATGGAATGATTGTAAGTTGTACATGTCTATCTAGCAGGATTCATCTGATATTGATCTCATTTTTATGGTTAATTGGTCATGTACCATCATTGTTTCATTCGTTTTTATACGCCCGTTTACGGGACGTATTATGGTATACCGTTGTCAGTCTGTCCGTCTGTCCGTCCGTCGTCAACAAGTCTGACATTAACTCAAAAACGCTTTAACCAATTTGCATAAAACTTTGGTGAATTGTTTATATCTATTGACGTGAGCTCCCTTTCGTTTCCGAGTTATTGGGGTGTATTCATTAAACAAGAGGCTCTCAAGAGCCTGAATCGCTCACCTGTATTTCAGAGGAGAAGATTTTTAAATGTTAGCAAACTTGATGAACAAATTGTGTAAAATTGTCTTTAAAGGGCAATAACTCCTTAAGGGGTCAATTGACAATTATGGTCATATTAACTTTTTTGTAGATCTTACTTTGCATGACATTATTGCTGCTTACAGTTTATATATATCTATAATAATATTCAAAATAATAACAAAAAACTGCAAAATTTTGTTAAAACTACCAATTTGGTGGCAGCAACCCAACAATGGGTTGTTCGATTTGTCTGAAAATTTCAGAGCTGATAGATCTTGACCAATTGAACAATTTTACCGCTGTCAGATTTGCTCTAAAAGCTTTAGTTTTTGAGATATAAGCCAAAAACTGCATTTGACCCCTATGTTCTATTTTTAGCCATGGCGGCCATGTTTGTCGATGTATCAAAATTTCGGATACAATTTATAAGCTAGATACCCTGAGAAACATTTAGTTAAAGTTTGAAGGTATTTGGCCCAGTAGTTTCAGAGGAGAAGATTTTTGAAATAGTTTACGACGACAGACGACGACAGACGACGGACGACGACGGACGCCAAGTGATGGCATAAGCTCACATGGGGCCCTTCGGGGCTAAAAAGGGGGATTTTCCAGTTTTCGGACAATAACTCAAGAATGCTTTCACCAACTTGCAATTGTGGTGAATTGTTTATATCTATTGACATGAGCTCCCTTTCGATTTTTATATATTTTAGATTTTACGTTTCCGAGTTACAGGGTTTTATTCATAAAAAAAGGAGGATTTTCCAGTTTTCGAACAAAAAATCAAAAATGCTTTCAGCAGTTCTTATAAAATTGTTTATATCTATTTATCGTTTAGAATTTTATAAATTTTTCATTTATCATTTCTGAGTTATGGGGTTTTATTCATTAAAAAAGGGGGGATTTTCCAGTTTTCAGACAATAACTTCAGCAGTTCTTATGAAACTTTGGTGAATTGTTTATATCTATTGATGTAAGCTCCGTTTAGAATTTTATAAATTTTTCATTTATCATTTCTGAGTTATGGGGTTTTATTCATTAAAAAAGGGGGGATTTTCCAGTTTTCGGACAATAACTCAAAAATGCTGTCAGCTATTCTCATGAAACTTTGGTGAATTGTTTATATCTATTGATGTAAGCTCCCTTTATATTTTCATAAATTTCTAATATGACATTGAGAATTAATTGAACTTTATTTGTTTATAGTCTGACAACAGATTTACTAAGTATTGCGCAACAGCAGCGTGTATTGCACAACAGCAAGAAATCTTTAATTGAATATAAATTCAATTCATATAACCAATTTCAAGTTCTTTGACTACATTTATTCAGAAACCTATAATATGTCAAATATTTAATTACAATCCAAATTCAGACCTGTATCAAGCTTGAATATTGTGTCCATTTTTGCCCCAACTGTTCAGGGTTGAACCTCTGCGGGCGTATCCAGCTGCGCTCAGCGAAGCAGTTTATTCGGATATTGTAATCAATTTGTCAATTTGTCAATTTGTTATGTATACAGGTGTTATCTGAATTTTGCATCATTTTTATGGTTTACTTGTCAATATGAAGTTTTCATGGATAGGTCCATTTCTTAGAAACTATAAGCAAGATATCAAATATATTTGGTGTATGAACAGATTGTACACGTCTGTCCGGCAGGGTTCATCTACTTTTGACTCATATTGATGGTTCATTGGTCAATGTTTCGTTTAAGTGGTTTGGTCCGGTTTTCAAATATTTTAAGCAATGTTTGAACCATATTTGGTGTACACGATTATTGTAATGTCCATTTGGTAGGTTTCATTTGATCTTGACCTCATTGTCTCGGTTCATTGGTGATATTATTTCTAGTGGTTATTAAAATTGAGAATGGAAATTGGGAATGTAAGTCTGTTTATCAGATACTATATGCAACAGGTTAACTATATCAGAAGTGTGAAATGATTGTAAGGTGTGTATGTCTGCCTGGTAGGGTCTTCTGACCTTGACCTATTTTAAAGGTTCTTTTTTTTTCATTGTTCAGTTTTTTGTTAGGTCTGTCTCTCAGTAATAGCAATAGGTTAACTAGTTTCGGTGTATAGAATTATTGTATTGTGTGCATGTCCGCCTGGCAGGGTTTATAATTATCCGACCTTGAACTCATTTACGTGGATCATTGATAATGTAAACTGTATACATGTAATACTGGTATTAAAACCTTTTTAAAAGTCTGTCAGTATAAATGTAGTCATGATCAGTGAGGCAGGCGAGACATTTCAGCATGTACACTCTTGTTTTAAATAGTAAAATGTTTCTCAAGGTTGTCAGTTATTTGAAGTTCCATCCATGTGAAAACATTGTTTATTACAGTTTCTTAATCCATATAATTATGCCTAGTAGAATTTACAATCTGCTAAAATATTTGTATATCAAATTTTAGGGCATGCTACGTCTATGCTCATGGACAGCTCGTGTCACATATGTGAAGGTAACGATAATCAACAAACAGAATTCAAGTATTATGATGGACTACATTTTGCCACACATGGACTGACAAAGCCAAGAACCAATAGAGGAAACAAGGCGTCTATTGGTAGTGGGAAAAGAAGTATCATTTGTAATGATAAACAAGCAGAGTTTAGCGATGACGTTGGAAATATGAACTCGCCTCAAAAATTAAAGCATCCTTCGAGAAACAAACGTAATAATGAAAACTTCCGCGGAGGTCGGGGACAAAATCGTAGAGGTCGTGGGAAGGGAACTGAGAAAACGATACAGGTTGAAACAGACAATATAGGTGGTAATACAAGTCGTGTTGGTAGAAGCGGAGAATTTAAAAGAGACAGACATAGAGATGATCATCATGACAGAGGAAGTCGGGGATATCGCGGCCGTGGACGAGGTCGTGATGGTAACAGAGGTCGTGGTCATGAAGACAACAAATATGAAAATGAAAGTCATGATGGTAGAAGTCAAGAATTCAATCGAGGACAAGGTCGTGGTAATAACAGAGGTCGTGGTAGGGGTCGTGGAAATGAAGACAGCAAATATGAAAATGAAAGTCCTGATGGTAAAAGTCAAGAATTCAATCGTGGACAAGGTGATAATAACAAAGGTCGTAGTAGGGGTCGTGTTCATGAAGACAACAAGTATGGAAATGAAAGTCGTGATGGTAGAAGTGGAGAACTTAATCGTGGACGAGGTCGTGGAGGTAACAGAAGTCGTGGTAGGGGTCGTGGTCGTGGTCATGAAGACAACAAAGATGGAGATGAAATTCCTGGTGGTAGAAGTCGAGATTTCAGTAGAGACAGACACCAAGATGATTATAATGAAAGAGGTAGTCAGGAATATCGCGGCCGTGGACGAGGTCGTGGTGGAAACAAAGGTCGTGGTAGGGGTCGTCGTGGTCGCTGATGAAAACAATGGATAATAGTGTTTTTACAAATATGTGCAATAAGTTATCAATATAATGTACCAGAAATTATCGATTACTATCATTACAGTTAAATCTGTAATTAGCTGTTCATGATACAAAGAGATTAGATTGCAATGGTTAGAAATAAATGGTGTGGATTCGTTATTATTTGTGGGATACACATTTTTGTGGATTTTGGGGGTAAAAGTGAACAACGGTTTTAGGTATATCATTGAAAATCCAAATAGTCTATGTTTGTAAGTATGATGTTTTCAAATTCACCAAAACAAGTATCGACAAAAATATATTGTTTCCTCAATATATGAAAATTGCAATACCCATTTTAAATGATTCAACAATATGCTTAAATACAGCGAAAGTCCAATAATTCCTAATACGAGAAAATGATATTAGGTTATTTTTTCAGGCTTTACATTTCGTTCATTAAAAGTGTTTGGACAGATAAATATTTCAACTTTTCAACTGGTCAAATCAACTAAGATTATCACACAAGCCTTGATGATCGCTCTAATATTCAAAAAAATATTTCCTCATTGTTTCAATTATCAAGTTTTAAATTTGATAATTTGTTATCAATATTCATAAAATGCACAATCTGCCAGTGTGACGAAAAATATCTCCACTCTATGTATGTGTAAGAAAACATACATACGTGATGAATTCTGAATCATTTGTTGAAATTAAAAACAATATTTTTTTTTTATTTTATTCAAAACTAATTTTAGTAGCCAAGGTTATCATGTAATCAAGAATTGACTGTATGACATTTGCAAGAATGGGAGCATAAAGACCCGTGTATAAATATCTTTGTAATAAAAATTAAAAAAACAATGAGGTTGTTTTAAATGTGCATGAAATATCTGCCACTGAATGTTAAGCGAACATAATCAATCATATTTATTAATGAAATGTTTGAGTTGTGATTGTTGTATTCATGCATTGCCATTTATTTTATATGTAAGTTGTATTTCTTTCAGATGCTATATAAGACTTATTGAAATTCTGTTTTATAGTTCGATGAATAGTACTAGTTTTGTTGCAATTTTTAAAGCATATCAATACCATAAACATAAATAATATGTTCATATAACAGCCTAAAAAGGCATATTTAATTTGACTGGCGCCATTTTTATGAAACTTTAATATAAAAGTGTTAGTTATTGTAGTAATTGGAGTCAGAGAAGCCAGTGGCATATGCCCTAAGCATTTTTTTTTTAAACATGTGATATTTTTTTCTATGAACGAATTTTCTGTTCGGGCAATTCCCATTTTGTTTTACTTACTAGTATTGCTATTTTATACTATTTGTATAATTCTTTGCTAACAATATAATTAGGCCTCGTGATTATTTTTTGCAGTTTTTTTCTAAGGTTCAAAAACGTTGTATAAATTAAGAGACAACTCAAAGGTCAAGTACTTTTAGATGAACCCAGAATATATGTTCATTGTTTATAGGCCGTTTGGTTTCTTATTTAAATTGTTTTATCTTTTGTTATGTCGGGGCTTTTTATAGGTTGCTATGCGGTATGGTTTTTTTTATCTTGTTGAAGGCCATATAACATCTATGTCATTTGGTCTCTGGTGGATAGTTGTCTCAATGGCAATCATACCACATCTCATTATTTTATAAAGCAATTTAGTCATTTTTTTTTCAATGTTCTAAGATGTTTAGTTTTTTTGTTAGACTTTTTGAAAAAGGGGTGTTTAGAATGGATATTTATTGTAACAAGTAATATCTAAAACAAATCACGGTCGTTATTGTTGTTACTACTTTTATTGTTGTGGTTATTTTCAAGATAGTTGAGTTCTTGTTTAACCATATTAATTATGAAGTATACACATGTTATTTAGTATCTGATTTTTACCAGACTTGTGTGAAGCTTTGATAGAATGTAGCTTAAAACAAACTATTGTTTAATTTTTTCAACGACAATCATCGTTTTAAACTACATGTATTATACTAAGAATTTCGATTTTCGTGTAGTATAAATTATTGTATAAGCTTAGATACTAGTAGTGTATAATACTCTAATTTGAGCTATAAGTATGTAAGTTTCAAAAGACGAGCGAGCTATAGTTTAAGGGCATACGATACAGTTACAGGGGAGGTAAGGACGTCGCTAACGTAAAATGTTATTTTTTGCGACGTCAAACTGTGACATATGAGAAAAGATGCATTTTTCATCAAATTTTTATCATTCATTCTGTTTTAACTTGAAAGCGATTCATGGACTCCTCTTTTTAAAAATGACATTTGGCTTGATTATATATGAAGATTTTTTGTTCCAATTTTTATGAAGAAATTACCGATGATTTTTTTTTTAATTAGATAAATATACAGCCGAAAATGCCGTTTTTTGACCAAATTATGAAAATGTGATAAAATAATTATTTCGAAAGAATTGTTACACAAATTCAAAACACACTTATGTAGAGAAGATAATCCAGATGTTTTATAAAAAAATCCTTTTATGTTTATCTTTTGAAACAAATAAGTTAGGTATGTCTATCCAATGGATAGAAATATCAGAGAAACCGAAATTTTTAGTAAATGTCTAAAATTTCGACTCCATTTTTCTCTAAAAGGAGCACATGAAGGTATATTTTTATTGCATATATGAATTTACTAGGTGAAAAATAGTTTGTTTGCACATTATCGTCAAAAATTCCCCGTGGGATCGAAACTGTATCGTATGCCCTAAATGTAATTTGTTTACCATTATGTTTTATGACTAACAATATTGCAAAGTAATTGCAATTTTAACAATTAAACTGTCAGCATTTCTAGAAATTTGCTTTTCATTTATCTATGATTTCACCATTGAGTTACATTTTATTTTGTATATCCGTAATTCACCGTTTCAGAATCTAATGCATTATGGGTATTTTTTCAAAAGTGTACACTAAAACATCGGTATTTGTTAAAAACGTCCTAAACAATGGAAATTAAACCAATGACGTGACTTTATTTTAATTTTTGGATACGAACAAAGAAATAAACCCATAGAATTTTAGATTCTGAAACGGCCATTTATGGTATACCTTTGTCCATCCGTTTGCTATCCATCTGTCTGTTATCTATCCGTCCTTTTTCAATTCGCCCGGGCACGTCTTTGGATTATCTCAAGTATGCTTGAACGAAATTATGTACACAATGCTGGGTTGATGACGACTACGTACCTTTTGGTGCTGAGGATTTTTTTTAGATAAGTTGTTCCAGAAGTATCGAACATCATTCGTCAAAAATCAGGCATGTACGGAAGACTTTTTAATTTACATTTTCCAATTTGATATAACAGATTATCAATTTGATATAAAAAATGTGAATTTCTCTTCCAAAAGTTTTATTTAATCATAATTATGTTTGATTGGAAGATAGCGTAACCCAAACTGACGCTTTTTTTTGTATTGATTGATTGTTTATTTGACACCCAGTGACAAATATCTAATGCATATTAAAAACTCTGTTAACAGGTTTAAGATTTCTGAAACCCTCCCACTCCCCTTTTATCCTTATCTGGGGCAGTTTTTGGGACTAGCTTCCAGGGATGGGGTCGATAACTTTAAAATGTAATCGATTAAATTACAATTACTTTGCTAATTTGATGTAATCGATTACATTACAATTACACATAAATTCAAATGTAATTGATTACATTAGATTACTTTTCTTTTAAAGTAATCATGATTACATTGTATACTGTGATATTAAATTAAAACTTTTTAAACATTTGATCCTCACAGAAAAAAGCCAATCTGAGCAAAATATTGTGTTTATAATATTTTTTCAATATAAACATGTTATTTATAAGAACTTAGAAAAGGAGCAGTGTTATATTTATATTGTTGGATGACATTATTTATATTATTTTATTTGACAGGTTTACTTTCAATGTAAATGTCTCTGCTTTTTCTGTTAAAGGAATAACATTGGTTTTTTTTTAATATCTTAGCCCCGATATAAAACATATTTTCAATTAAGAAAAAGAAATCAACAAATAGTGATTATTTTATGATCAAGTAGCCTTTATGTCTTTGCGGATAATATGATTGACACTTAAATGTGTTTTTATAGGTATTAATCACTACCTCGATTTTATAACAAACAAAATGTGAGCTTGGGCAAATAAAATTAATTGTTTTGATTGGAATAATCAATAAATTTCTATACAATTCATTTTTTTATTATTTTCATGATTGTAAAATTTATATTTTATACAAACATATTAAGAAAACACATGATAAAAAAATATTGAATTTTGTTATAAAAATTGTGAAAAAAAGTTGGTTCTAAATTCCATTATCATTTAAAGTCAAATATCAAAGTCAATATAAAGGGCAAAATTTGCACTTGACTTTAACATTCCGAGAAATTTCTGCAACCTAAGGGAACAAAAAAACATTTAAAAAGCACACATCTTATATCACAAGGGCTCAATCTCAAAATCAAACTTTTGGAAAGGTAAATTCATGTAGTAAACTGTTAAAAAAAGCCACACATTTACACCCTACATACCGTTAACCATGATTATACTGAAACTGAAATTAATAAATATTTAATAGGATCAATCATTTTGAACCATACTCAATCATAGTGAACATTAGTTTGGGGATATTTTTATTTATGCTTTCATATAAAAAACAATTTTTATATGTAAAATTTATAATCATCAAGTAATCATTTGAATGTAATCTAAAAGTAATCATGATTACACCTGTTTTTTGCATTGTAATCGATTACATTACGATTACTTGTAATCAGAAAATGCATGATTACTGATTACATAAGATTACACTGCAAAATATAGTCGATTACAGCTGATTACGATTACTGATTACAATAACCCAATGCCTGCTTGTTTCTCTATTAAGTACATGGAACCTGGTGTCTAAGAACGAACAAATATAAGAGAAAACTAGACAAAGTGATGCCTGCACTCCACTTTGAAGTAACTGTAGGACTTTCTTTCGAGATATTATTATGTCTGGGAGACACAAATGATGCCCCGCAGATGCAAAGTTTTATTCTAAAATACACAAATTTGAGCATGGAAGCACATAGGTCTATGGTTCACTGTAGGAGGAGTTATCCGGAAACACTATGCACCTCTTATGCAAGTATATACTCCAAAAATGACAAATTTCAACTATCTCCCAATAAGAGCAAATATAAATAAAAATCTAAAACCTGGCCACATGCACACCTTCAATATATGTACAAACAGCCAGCTAAGTGAAAACTTCCTTGCATTCAAACTGTAGGAGGAGTTATCTGGCATAGCTATGCACCTCTTATGCAAGCATATACTCCAAAAATGACAAAGTTTAACTATCTCCCAAAAAGAGCAAATATCAATAAAAATCTTAACCCTGACCACATGCACACCTTCAATATATGTACAAAAGCCAGCAAAGTGAAAACTTCCTAGCATTCAAACTGTAGGAGGAATTATTTGGAATAGCTATATACCCATAATGGGACGGACGGACGGACGGAAGGGCGTGCAGATGGGGGTAAAACAACATGCCCCAACTTTGAGCAATTCATATTGCATATTTTCAAGTCAGAACGAAATGAATAGTTCTATTGAAATATTGGTGTTTTTAGGAACATAGGAACATGCAAGGATATAAAATGCTTCCCCTTCTTTGAATAGCCTGGCATGTTCCTATATCAATTTCAATAGGAACATGCAAGGATCAATTAAACATCCTTAAATTCATCCTTGCAATTGTCTTTATAAATTTGTTTCAATATTTATTTTCTATATGAAAACATTTTATTAAAAATGAAGAACCACGCGCGAGATCTAGAAGGATTGTAAAAACTATCGTCACGTGATGCTCGGATATCCCGTATACGTGTTTGTTATGTTATATATTATATATGTACCGACTCTAAATTAAGGTTTGAATTGAAAAATTGTTCATCTACTGTAATAATTGTAATGTATATAGAATAATCCTTTGCCATTTCAGTGCCATGGCGAAATCGTAGAAATATACGTTCAGTGCCAAGGCATGTTTTTTCCATCCACACTGGTCGTGCATTATGACGTTATAGTACCCAAATGTCATAACGTAGGCATACTGCAAGAAAGTGTTAGCGAAAACACGCGGGAAGAAATAAAAATTGACGGGAAAGTTGAAATCAATTTTCGAATATGCATAAATAAATTATAAATCTACTTAAAAAATATTTTTAAGTCGTATGAAACTCCAAATTGAACAAAATTTATAAACATGTTTTTTTTTAACTAAAATAGCTGATTTTTCTAATAAAAGACGCATACTTGGCCTATCGGTAATAAATCTGTCGAGTACGATTATCATACTCAGACTCAGAAACCAACCAATCAAAACACTGGATTGAGTGGTTCGAGCACACATTTTGTACTTCGAGGACTGAGTTAAGTTTTATAACCGAGACCTGATCATACATAGATTTGTTTTATTTTGTCCATATCCCAAAGAAATATATATGCATTTACTGCCATTGAATTATATTGTCTTCCCGTATAATAACATATGAATTCTCCGACAGCTTTTCCGTATGCATAGCCTAAGTGCTAATAGTTTTTTTTTAATCACAATTGAAAAAGTGTTATAAACAACTGATAGAACATGTAAAAATAAATTATAATCCGACGATATACACGTAAATGATAATTAATATAGAAATTGGATAAATAATTAACGGCGAGTTATAGTATATACATGTATTTACTTTGAAGTTGGCATCTTCAACGTGAAATTTTTTCAGCTGAATGATGTATATTTGACTGCACGTTGATTCAGATACTTGACCATTTCTACCGCGAAAATTTTGGCTATCGTTATTTTACAATAATTTTTTTTATAGCAAAAAGCGCTTCTGCGTTTCGTATACATTTAAAAACAAATCAGTCCTTTCCTCGTACGATATACATGTATACTAATAGCACAAACTGTAAGTGCAATATTTGTTTTTTAATCAAAGTAAACCAATTTAATTTAAATTATCATATCATGTCCTTTGATACAAGTTCGGACAACTTTTTAATATACATCCATGTCAAAGTGTAACTCTGCATGAAAGAAAGTATCTAATAAGAATTAGAAGATGTGGTATAATTGCCATGGAACTCTCTACTAGAAAACAATTGTCGTAGATGCAAGAAACTATAGGTAATCGTACGGTTTTCAACACGGAGCAAGAGCTCATAACGCGAGCAAGATAAATCAAAAGCCCCAAAAAATTACAAATGTTAAAGCTCAGACTTAAAATTCTTATTTATACCTTTGATAATGCGTTTTTATGACATATTCCATTCTTTTAGGTATGCTAGAGATTTCATAGCAAGACGGGAAAGAATAAGACGCTTCTCAAGACTACACGCTTGGCCTAAAGTTGGAGAAACAACACTGAATGAAATAAAGGGGTTCTTTGTCGTCATTCTTAACATGGGTTTGATTAGATAGGCGACGATAGCAGACTATTGAAACAGTAAATTGCCAAGTCAATAGACAAAATGGTTTAAGAACAAAAAAGTCATGTTTAGTCGCAACCGATTTCATCTCATTTTTAATTTTTTTCATCTAACTAACAACAATAACATACCCGGCAGAAACGATCCAAACTACAGCCCGACAGCAAAATTTCAGTGCCTCATTGATTTATTCAATCGTCAGTCGAAATTTCATTATAAACCAGAACAAAACTTAAGTGTAGATGAAAGTTTAATAGGGACTCGTGGTCGAACAAGGCATGCTGCAATACATTCCGTCAAAAAGTTCGGGGTGAAAGTTTGGATGCTGGTAGAGGCAGTGTCAGGATATCATCCACGCTATAATATATAGAGGACAGAAGTATGACCCAACACCACCAGTTCAAACCCATGGTTCTTACGTTGTAAAAACGTTGCTAGAAAAAGCTGGGTTACTTCATAAAAAGTATTAGTCGTGTGCGACAGCTTCTTTACTTCTATTGCGCTTGCTAAAGTTACAACTCGAAACTTATTTTACAGGAACTATTCGCCAAAACAGGCACATGCCGAACATGATAAACATGCCATACTAGGAAAACGTGAATTCAAATACGCTCGCCAGGGACATATTTTAATGTGTGTATATCGCGAAAGGGCACGAAGAAAATCCGTCCGCATCTTATCATCGCACGAAAAGGCTATCCAAGACAACGACAATTAACCCCGAGTACTTGAATTTTATAATAAAAACATGGACAGCGTTGATTTGGCAGATATGATGGTAACTTAACTTCTTGCAGCGCATTGTAATAAATGCTTGTAAAAACACTTCTGATCAACCAGTGAAAAGTAGACTACAGTTTGTACAATCAATTACAGAGGATCTCTCACGCGATTATCTGCTATATTCGTGAAATGAATGCACAGGTTAATCCTGGCAGACCAAAGAGAACGCGCTTGCGGAAAATTGCCAAGTAATGTATAAAGTTCGGATAGAGAAGGATTTGGTGGTCGTCATCGAACAAAGACCGTATGCAGAAACTGTAACAAAGGCTTACACAAAGATTGCATGTATAATCATGAGTGTACTGAAGAATAGATTTATCATGTCATATCTTCTCTTAAATATGTCTTATGGTCAACGCTTTTGTTTTGTTTTGTCTTTCCAATTTCAATAACAAAATAAACAATTTACAGGGTGGCTGAAAATACCAAAGAGATATAACTCATATGATTTGAAGGTAAACTGGCAACGCCATGACAAAAAAAGTAAAACTATAAAAAAGGCAAACAATGAGTCTACAAAAACTACATAAAAACTGAAGATTTAGTAACAAAATCCCTAAAAAAAATAGAAAGGAAAGGAGATACTGCTCCACATGTGCCCGCCGTTGCATGTATCTCTCATATAAGAAAAGTTTATAAAGTTTTAACAAGATATGTTTAAAGGCCCAGATTAAAAAAAAAACGTGTCCTGGCCTGGTCAAACCAGAAACTTGAAAATTGGTATTTGCTTTCCGCTAAACACGCGATATTTAGGAGTGAAAGAATAGGCTGATCGACCAGGAGTCAGAATAATGAGTTCGGGTAAATGTGCGTTAAATGAAACTAGCCGGCATGTCGGTCTAGTTCAAAACTGGGTATATATTCAAATCTCATCCTAAATATGCATGTAACCTACCGCTGTAGAAAAAATAGTCCCGTTTATTTT